GACACACTTTTTTGATTGGTGGTTGGACGGTGAAGGAGCAGCTGGTGCTGATGTGTGAGCAGTTTCCTTCACGGGGAATGCTGTACTGGTTGGGTTGGACCATGTTGGGTGCTTATGTTTGGGTGATGGATCTCTTTCCTTGCTAGTGATGTGTTGGGGTAAAGAAGGACAAGGACCATGTGCTCTGTGTACTGCATCAGGTCCCCATAGCCACTGGGATATAAGCACAGGCAGGAGCATCCTGGACCAGTTGCAGCCATAGCAGAGCAGTGACCAGTTCTGGACATCTCCTGTGGGCTTTGTGTCTTTTTGGTGTTTCTTGGGTGGAGTTGGTAGCACTGGGCTTCTGTTCCTTGTCCAGATCTCTGCAGACCTTGATGGGTCCCCTCCTTGATTCTCTGAGGTGCACCTTGTCTGTGCCACCCCGTTGCTTCCAAAGCAGTGCTGTGGCATTACAGAATGGTCTCTTGTGGTGGGATGATGGTTTGGAAGTGGCTTTCATATCTTGGCATTACTGGAGGGTCTGGAAGGGAGTGTGGTGGTGGAAGAGGAGGAAGTGTGCAGGGCAGGCATCATGCCGTCTGGGGCAAATGGGTGCCCCAACAGTCTGGCAGCTGTAAGAGATACTTGGGGGCTGCAGGACCACCGTTCCCTGAGAATGGTCTGCTGTCTGTAGGCAGGAGGCATTGGCAAGACGGGCTGCAGGAGGGAGACTCGGGCCTGCCTGCCTGCCTGCCTGAGGGGACTGTGTCTTTCCCTGTCCAGTACAAGCACTGACCACAGCTTTGCTTTTTCATTCTTTTTTGTTTTTACAAAAAGTTTTTATTTATAACAAAATAATAAATAAATAAATAAACAAGTGCCCGGCCAAATAAATAAATAAGCAACTAAGTTAATTAAATAAATAAGTAAGTAAACAGAGTTCTGTGATAGAGATTGGCATAAAAGTCCCACAGTAGCTCCCCAGTGTCATTGATCCCCATCCCGTTCATCAGGTGAGGTTGCAGTCTGGATGAACGTGATAATTCCACAGGTAGTAAGTACCATCCATATCTCCTTGCAGCTGTCCATGAGTTCGTAGCACAGAAATTTCCTCTTCCTTTCTATCCAGTGGCCTTGGTTTGGGTATGTGGGCTGTGACACAGACTGACCCCAGTTTCACCATGGTCATACCCTTTCTTCATCAGCCCATCATTCTGCTTGAAAGAGGTGAGACTGGTACCGAGTGATCCCAGCCTAGGCTGCTGCTGTCACCATTCAATCTGTGGCCACTGCCGCTGGCTGGGGATGGGTGTTTGCCATCCGAGGTTTTAGTGGGGTCCGAAGCAGCGTGGTGCTTCATTCGCCGTATGAGTCTGTCCATGTATTTGAAGCAGTCAATAGCTTCGAGGCGGACGTGGTCCCAGGCGCAGGCGCTGTGGTTGTGGGCACGGAGGAAGAGGTGGATGTCCCTGAAGTACTTGTTGATGGTGAGCAGCAGGTTGCGTGGTCCTTTGAAGAGCGTGGCGTTGTCGGGGAGGCAGTGCTCGAGGAGGTGGATGTGGTGCTGGAGTTTGTTGAGGAGGTCGTTGCGAGCCTGGGTGGGCCAGTGCTGGCGGGTGCTGTTGGTGCTGAGGGTGTGGAAGAGGTGCTGGAGGATGTGTAGGGCGGTGTCGGCGGCTTGGTGCGGGTGGAGGTTGTCGCGGAGGAGGGTGTCGGGGAAGAAGGGCGGCTCCTGGAGGTGGCAGGGCTGTGTGTGGCTGGGAGCCATGTCCTGGAGGAGGCGGAGTGCGTCGCCAGGATCCTGGGTCCGCAGGTGGCGGCACGGGAGGCTGGCAGCGAGAGCAGTGATGAGGAGCAACAGTGCCAGGGTGCTGTGCCACCGGCAGGGCTGTGCACATCCAAGTACAGCCATGGTGGGTCTCTGGGTGCTGTGAAGGAGCCTGGTCTGGCTCGGTGGTGGTCGTTGCTTTGCTTGGGGTGCTGCCGAGTGTGCCATTTTATATGCCCAGGCTTTCCTTTCATCACCATCTTCTAGAGGATTTCCCTTTTCTGTTTTCACTTTTGTTTTTTCGTTTGCTTTCTTCTGAGGGCTTTGGTGCTTGTCACTGACCCAGGAGGGCGCTGCTATGAGAACGGGAGCTGACACTTTCTCAGGGCTGCAGCTAGGGGGAAGCCTGGCTACCCTGCTATTGCAGGAGGTGAAAGTGTGGCAGAAGTTTTCGGGATGGCTGTGCTGGGGGTGTGTGTCAGGATTGTCTTTTGATCTGTTTTGTGTGTTTCCTTTTTTGGGTTTTATTTTAAAATTTCTCTACCTACTGGCATCTGTTTTTTTCTTATTTCATGCTCTAATATTATTTGCATATAATGTTTAATTTGCATGTTCTTATATTTCTTATTGACAAATATTATTAGTCTATCAGTCTTTTAAAATTCTATTTATATGTGTGTATATATATTAATATTTTAATTTTTTTTTCTGGGGCACTTGCAGCTTTGCTAGTGCAGGAGCTTTTCATCTCTCTGCAAAATCTTGCAGAATACTTTTGGAGCCATCTCTCATACCCCTGTATCCAGAGTTAATTACCCTTGGTATGTTGGTATTTAGAAATAAATGTGCAGATGTCACAAAGGATTTTTTGCCAACTATTCATGCTGTGTTTGTCCTTCCTAGATTTTGAGGGGTTTTTTAAATTATTTGTGAATTTTTGGTGAAAATGTGGCAGTGTTACATGGTCTGGGGGCAGGATCAGGTGGGAATATTTCTATTTCACATGCCAGTCCACTTACATGGGAAAAGTGAAAGTGGGCGGAGTTCCCAGTGAGTCATCACTTCTTCCTGTGTAACTTCCAGCAGCAAGAAATCCCCATGGTTGCTGATAAAGCAAGAATGGGATTTTCTCCTGAGATTTTTTTATTTTTTTAATTTAACTCAAGTAATGTGCATATTGTTGCTGTAAAGTCTCACTGTGGATTTTTTTGTTGTTTGGGTTCTTTTGGTGTATGTTACATTGGGATATGTTGTCTTCTCAGTTCATCTGTTGCAAAAATCTTAAAAATACATCAGCTGGTATGTGATCTGCTGCTGGATGGATCTTAAGTCTATTATGTCTCATCACTTACCCTTTTTCATACTTTTCTGCCTTACTTTTTGGGCCTATTTCCGATATTGCTCTTTTGGCTTTAGGCAGCCTTTTTTTTCCTCCTTTTGTAGGTCAGGAGATACCTGGGACATTTGAAGAGCAAAGTGTCTTCCCTGATATTTTCCTTTGGGCAGGCATGAACTGGAGACATAACTGCCTTGCACTTATATTTTCTAATGAGTTTTTAGTTTGAATGTATGTATGCACAAGTAGGATACAGATATTCAGTACTGATGTGGTTTTCCCCTTCCTGAGGTGCAGTGGGAATAATTGCAACTCTTACACCCTCTCCTCATGCAGGTTTGATTATATTTTGTCCAGTTTGTACAGGGGGAAAATGTTAGTGTGTCAGTTCGTACCTTCTTGAGTTGTTTTCACATCTCTTCTCTAGATCTTCTTTTTGTAGAATTTTCATCAGAAGGTTATAAGAGTGCTGCTTCTGAATAACCTGCTAAGACTTTCAGTGTGAATTTAGTTGTGTTTTGCCAAGTGATTAATGCTGGAGTTCCTAAGGGGGAATTACCAGAGAAGGAAAGGTTGATGATATAATGGCATCATTACAAGTTACAGAAAGCACCTACAATACTAAAACTTTGCCACATTATTCTGTGTTCAGTGATGGAGGATTGTGTGTAGGAGACAGGGAAGTGGTGCACGGAAGTGGAGCAAGGTGGAGGGTACTGTCAACTCTGAGAAAACATTTGAGGTGCTATGGCATTTGCAGAGAGGGGTATGATAAAGGAGGAGACTTTTCCAGTGTTTGAAAATACGTGGAAATGGATACATTAGGATACATTACTACTTAAAACATTATCTCTTTCTGGGTTGGAGGCGGTGAGGAGTAGAAGGTGAAAATTAGGAGGTAAAAAACAGATTACCAGATCCACAGGTGGAGTTCACCCAGAGAGAGAAGGGCAAACTTCTTGCCTTTTTTTTTTCCAAAACTGAGGTCAAAATACTGCTTTGCTTTTGCTAACTTGTCCTGTCATTTCAGAATGCAAGCTTTCTTGTATTGCTTACTTTCTTGTAAAAGACTTAAAGAATTACCTAAGGCAGTGCTCTCCACCTTTTTTATGCACCCTATCAGCAAAAAATTTGTGAGCGCTCACCTACAGTATTATTTTTATTTCTGAATTATATACATATACCCCTATACTAATATATATGTTATAAACATACACAAAAATAAAAATGAAAAAAGGAGAGAAAGGTTAAACAAACAGTTTTAAAGTTCTCTTAAGTTGTATTTATCAAAGGTACCAAGTCTATTTCCTTCCTGCACTCCAATGGGTTGTGATACACACCACATTTTGGAGACTATGACCTGAGGTCTCCTGCGAAGTAGTCTAAATAAATTTTCCATTTATTTCTATTTATTTCCAATAAATAGAGTAACTATTCCTTTCTCTCTTTTAAAGTTTTTGCTGTTTTCATAGCTAACATTTCCACATTTAGGAAACAGGGCATGGTATGAGGGCAAACCCCTTAGACTTATATCTGTGTTGTGATTACAGTCCTGGCTTGACCAGAGGCCTTTGACCCACAATGCTCAGTTCTCTTTTAGGCAGTCTCACTGGGAGATTACAGTTCGGAGCTGGGAGCTGTGTGGGAAATCACTTAGTTATTGCCTTTAACTTACTATTAAGAGACAAAATATTTGTATATAACACAAAAAGTGTCTATAAAGTAAATTTATTTTTAGCATGAGGATCCAGGTAAATTTTTAGTTCTGCTGCACAATGTAAGGTCAGCTTCCACCCAAACCTCCTTTAGTTCTTGCTTTTAGAATTTTCTTCTGTGTCTAGTATGCAGTTGATAAGTTCTGTCCAGTTGTGTTACAGTTTCAACTATTAATAAATGGTGTTGTCTCTTTCCAAGGATTACTATGGAATTACATTCCCTGCTCCTGCAACCTTGACAGGCAGAGATGGGAGCCTTGCTAACAACCCATACTCAGGTGAGTGCTAGTTAGAGATAAGGATGGCAAGTGAGATATGCTGGTTTCTCAGTGCAGGTCGTCTACTGTCGCTCAGAGAGGAGTTGTTTTTCCCTTCTGTGGTCAAAGAAGCCCTTCCTTGTTCCTGCTCTTGCTCTTAAGCTGTCATTGTGCACAGATGATATTAATGCCATCCAGGATTTCAGCCAGTGGTTTTCATCCACTGCCAGTTGATTACATCTTAAAACTGTAGCCATAAGCATTGTAGTTCCTATAATGATGGTAATAAGTGCTGTCATACTTCCTGGTAACCAGAAAAAAGGAATACTTGATTGGGAGTGAGGTAGAAGGGATTGATGTATGTCACCTCCTTGGTAAATATGTGAACATGCTGCTCTGTAGGCTGCCAGAAAGTACAAGTGTTTTTGAATTTTCTGCTTCATGATCACTTCTCTTGGGAGGCTGTTTTTGGGTTAATAACTGAATTTCCCTTCCTGCTTCTTCAATAAGGTGGCCCACGATACAAGCCTTGCTTTCCTGGCCTTCAGCTACTGTCTTCAGAACTTTGGTGGTGTGAGGAACTGGACATCTTAACTAGTCATGCTTGTCAAATAAACAGACATTGGCAAAAATATGCCCATCACTGCCTGTAAATCCTAACCTGCTTTCAGCCCATGAAGCTTAGCTAAACAGGTTAACCTCCAGGAGAGTCACACTTTAACACAACAACCATTGGCTCTCTGGCTACTTACTATGCTTCTGCTCTTAGCATGTTTTATTGCAATGATCTGATAGTAATGAGTCTGCTCAGACCGTGTGAGATAGGTGAGTATTGGCATCTGTCTTTATCATGGAGTAGCCATGGCACAGAGTCCTGTGCCATAAACAAGCAGTATCTCTGTGGCTGTTAGGAACAGAGACTGGGTGAGGGCTTCCCATGAACACCTGCAGGCTTTCAGGTGTAGGATTTGTCCTGTTCTGTAGTTGCTTGCATTCAGAGGATTTAAATCCATTGAATTCTCCACCTTTGCAGTATCTTTGATAGCTTTTCTGATCAGTTTTTTCTTTCACAGGTGATGTAACAAAATTTGGCCGTGGAGATTCCGCCTCTCCTGCTCCTGCAACCACACTGGCCCAGCCGCAGCAGAACCAGACTCAGACTCACCACACGACTCAGCAGCCCTTCCTCAACCCGACCCTGCCTCCAGGGTACAGCTACACTGGGCTCCCTTACTATGCTGGAATGCCCGGTGTTCCCAGTGCATTCCAATATGGGCCAACCATGTTTGTAAGTGTGACAGCCTAAACTGTGACCCTTCCTGCATGCCTCTCCAGTTTTACTTTCTCCAGCCCAAACACTCCACATCTTGGAGTTATAGGAAGGTTTGGGTTGGAAGGTATCATCAAAGACCATCATGTTCCAATCCCCCTGCCATGGGCACGAGCACCTTCCACTAAACCAGGTTACTTGGAGCCCCATCCAGCCTGACCTTGAACACTTCCAGGGATGGGCCATCCATGTATTCTCTGGGAAACCTCTCCTAGTGCCACACCACCCTCATGGTGATGAGTATTTTCTTTGTATCTAATCTAAATCTATCATCTTTCAGTTTAAAACAGCCACCCTTCATCCTGTCGTTACAGGGCCTGGTAAAATGTTTTTCCCATCTTTCCTGTAAGCCTCCTTTAAGTGTAAAACGGTCACAGTAAGGTCTCCCCAGAGCCTTCTTTTCTCCAGAATGAAAACCCCCACCTGCCAGCCTGTCCTCATAGGAGAGAGGAGCTCATCCCCATGATCATTTGTGACCTCCTCTGCATCTGCTCCAGAGGTCCACAGCTTCCTCATACTGAGGGCCCTAGAGCTGGAGTCAGTATTCAGGTGGATTCTCATTAGAATGGAATAGAGTCAGCTTCTCCAGTCTGTAGGAGATCTCCAAAAACATGCAACGTGAGAAAATAGCTGCAATCTCTTCTAAATCTAATCTAATCTAACAAAAAATTTAACAGGCCAGAACTCATGGACCCCTGTGGAAGTTTCTATAAATAGCTTTCAGCTGCATTTTGTGGGCTTGCTGTTCCTAAAATCCCTTATTAGTCCCTGGAGAATCAAGGGGAGACACAAAACTGAGTCATTGAGCTGAGAGAGCCTGGATGGAGGAGACCCATTAAGTCACAGAGCAGGGCTGGAAGTCTCAGGAGGAAAAAGGTTATTTGGGAAGAGGTGCTGCTCCAGGCAGAAGGGTAGATGAGACTATTTAGGGCCCTGTAGGATAGTACTTTATGAATAGCCTCAGGCAGGAATTGATGTTTACTTTGATTCTGTGGTGGTTCTTCTCAGTTTGTGGGTAAAGATTTGCTGTTTGCATTCCACATATGAAAGAAACACACAGCCTCTTCTGAGTGAGGGCTGCATTGCAATCACAGGGACAGGTCTAGGAGAAATCCTGAGACACAAACCCACTATAGCAAGTTACTGCTGTCAGCAGTCCTGTGCCATCCCAGTCCTCCCAACTCTAGACTGGATTCCCGACATGAGGTGGAAGGTGCCTTCCCCACTAGATGGCAGAGGGAGCCTATGTTCCAGCTGAAGGTGCCTTTTGTTCCCATCCTTTGTCCAGGTACCTCCAGCATCTGCAAAACAGCATGGAGTCAACCTGAACACGGCGTCGACTCCCTTCCAGCAGGCGAGTGGCTACAGCCAGCATGGCTACGGTGCAGGTAAGCCCTCAGCCCCAGCTGCCCCGTGAGCACCTGTAGCCCTTCTTTGTGCACCATAACACCCTGTCTTGTGCACATTGGCAGGCTACGATGACTTAACACAGGGAACTGCAACTGGGGATTACAGCAAAGGAGGCTACAGTGGATCATCTCAAGCACAAAACAAATCGGCTGGCGCTGGACCTGGGAAAGGTAACACTTTGAGACTGGAGGTTCCTCTGGAGTGGGATTTAGTAGGGAAAACTCCCAGTGCTGTGCAGTCAACACAGCAGCCAGCTCTAAACAGGGTCATGATCCAAGCTGTTTCTCCATCTCCCATACACAAAATGCTTTTTTAATGGCTCACTTGTTCCTTCTAAACCTCATGACTGAACTTTGCATAAAGATTTGTGTGGCTGATGCACAGCTTGGTCCAGTTATACATGGGAGAAATGGTAAGCTATTTCCTAAGCCAAAGCTTTCTTTGCTGAAGAATATAGTGATCCTTCAACAGTGCTGTGATTTTGAAATTTGAGCAGTTCAATGCTGTTGCTGAAATTACCCTCTGCCAAATCATAGCTAGATGTTAAGCTTCTTGGTAGGCACCTGAGACACCCACATGTTAGAGGGTATCAGGGCACTTCACATATCTCTGGGCTGTCTAGCTGCTGCCTGTACCTGCTCATAACATTGTTGTGCCTGGAAATGTTTCCTTTGTGACCATAAAAGCTGACAAATTTATCTAGCTCATACAAAAACTTTGTTTGGCACACACTGGTTAGATTTGAGAAGTGTGCTCTGGGCTGCTTAGCACTAACTGGTTCACCCTCATGCTGAAGCAAATACCAAGCATTTGAAACACCAGGTGAAACACACTGTGCATTTGAAACACCAGGTGTTCACACTCTTTTCGGTGGAGAAGCAGTCCAGGAAGGGGCAGTGTCCAAGGAGGATTACAATCAAAGCTTAAAGCAGTAACCTTGAACCCAGTTCTCTGATTCACCAAACAAAACAACCATTGGCTTTATTCTGATCCAAGTGAAATGGTCAGAGCCACACTCTATAAAATTGTGAATAAGTGTCTCTGAACAAGTGATGCTGATTCTGTCAGGGCATAGGAGCACTGCAGACTTCACTCTTCTGTAGGATGTGGAAGCATAGGGGCTCAGATGTGTAGGAGATGCTGAGTCTCATCACTCAGGGCAGTACTGGTAAGCTCTTGCATGCTGCAATAGAGCCGAATGCACCTCTGATCCTAGGGGAAAGCTGGCTTTTTGTGGCCTTCAGTGAGTGGTCAGTGCAACCAGCTGCTGCCTGGTGAAGGGCATTGGAATCTGAGTGTTAATGGCTGGGTGTGGACCTGGGTGATTTATCCAGTGGGGTTTTGCAGTGGGAACAAGAAACTGAGCCCCTTCTTCTGTTCCCTCAGCTGTGGGTCTGAGATCATGGAGAACTAGAAGGGCAGAGGCTTCCAGAGGTGCTGAGAGCAAAGCTTGGGATCATGCTGACTAGAGGGGTGACATTCTCACTGTTGGTGGCATTTCTGTTTTCCAGGTGTTTCTGTGACCTCAAGTAACACGGGTGTGCCTGATATCAGTGGCTCAGTCTATAACAAGACTCAGGTGAGGAGTGTTGGACCCTCCTCCCTCAGTCCCCAAGGCTGATGACTCCTACTCCCAGGCTGGCCAGTCTCAGGGTCAGCAGGCCACGGCATCTCCTAACACTGGCTCTGTCTGCTGCTGGAGTGAAGTCTCATCCTCTGTCCCACTGTTTCTGCGGTGTCAGCACCTGACAGCAGCTGCTGGCAGAGGCTCAGTGCTCCCTGTGCTGCACACTGCCTACACTACACCATGCCATCAGTGTCCTGGGTGCAAATGAAGTTATGGGTGTTAGCATTTTTAGTACAAATAGTCCCCAAAGCAGGTGAGTTGAGAGGCTGTTTGCTTTCCATCAGAGGGACAGGTAGTAGTACCCACCTCTAACACTCAAGGGTCCCTGTCCCAAGCTCTCTTGTGGCCATTGTTCAGCATACAGCTCCCCAGGCAAAGCAGAAAGTGCTCTGTCAAGCTGTGCTGTGCACTGGGCTTATGTCTAGCTCCTGTTTGCTCCTCCCTGCACCCTCAGCAGGGGAAATCAGTGTCTGGCTGTGATCCATGCTTACAGGTAGGAAGCCAGCTGTCAGCTCTGTGCTTAGGGGTCAAGCTTTGGCCAGCAGGAGGAAAATACTACTGCAAGTTCCTGTGTTTTTGTTGGGCTGCCCTGGATAGGCTGAATAATTTTAGGCTGAGCCCACTCATGGGGGAAAGAACTTATTAGGCAGCTGCTGTGATCCCATGTCCCTCTGAATGGAAAGAGTTCAGGGGAAAAAAATCCACAATGCCTGTGAAAATAAAAATTTCAAGAGCCATTAGTGCAGAAATACGGGTGAGAACAGGAGCTGAAATTCATCCTCTGGTGTGCTTGCAGGTATTCAGTGTGACTTGGCTTCCCCATGGGGTAGGTGAAAGGTTCAGGTGATGTGTGTTTGGGCCACTCTTGTTCTGGTCTGGCTGGGGCTACTCACACCAGTTTCTGACCCTGTGCTCATTGCCCCCTTTGCAGACATTTGACAAGCAGGGATTCCATGCTGGCACTCCGCCTCCCTTCAGCCTGCCTTCTGCTCTCGGATCGACTGGGCCCCTGAACCCTGGTGCTGCCCCAGGTTATGCTCCAGCCCCGTTTCTCCATATCCTCCCTGCACATCAGCAGCCTCATTCCCAGATGCTGCACCACCACCTTCAGCAGGATGGGCAGGTGAGTCAGCCCCTTGTGCCTCTACAGCATCCCCAAGAGCACACTCCTCCCCCTTCCCAGCAGGGTCCTGGGGTGTTTGTTTCCTTCTGTTGTTTGCTTTGCTACTGGAGGAGGGAACCTCATGAAGGTCGGCAAGGGGAAATGCCATGTCCTGTCTCTGGGGAGAAAACAGGCCAATGCACCAGTATATGTCAGGGACCACCTGCTGGAAAGCAGCTCAGCAGAAAAGGCCCTGGGGGGCCTGGTGAGCACAAGCTGACCATGATCCAGCAATGTGCCCTTGCAGCAAAAAGGGACAATGGGATCCTGAGCTGCACCAGGCTCAGCACTGCCAACAGGTCAGGGGAACCGATCCCTGCCCTCTGCTCAACCCTGGTGAGGCCACAGCTGCAGCATCATGGCCAGTGCTTGGCTCCCCACTGTGGGAGAGACATGGATGTGCTGGAGAGTGTCCAATGAAGGACTGATGAAGAGGCTGGATAATGTCTTCTGTGACAAAAGGCTTGAGGAATTGGGACAGTTCAGCCTGGAGAGCACTGAGAGGAGATTTCATCAGTGTGCAGAAAGGGAAGGTGTAAAGAGTACTGAGCCAGCTTCTTTCCAGTGGTGTCCAGTGACAGGAACAGGGACAGTGGTCAGAAACTGGAACACAAGAGGTTTCCCTCTGAATATCAGATAAAATGTTTTTGCTAAGTGACCAAACACTGCCCAGGAAGCTGATTGAATCTCCACCCTTGAAATTGTCTGGGAATGGTGCTGGGCAGCTGGCTCTTAGGTGATCCTGCTTGAGCAAAGGGGTTGGACAAGATGCCTCAAGAGATCCCTGCCAGCCTCAGCCAGGCCATGATTGTGTGAAGAGCCCATCCTGCTCTTGGCTGGGGAGGGATGATCTGTGGGGTGTGAAGCCGAGGCAGGTGAGCACTTGTGCTGTGATTCTGGGGAGAGATCAAGCATCTCCTGCAGGTTGCATGTCAGCTTCGATTTGGTTTCACCTGCACGTGTTTACTTTCCTAACACTAAATATTCCCTGAAAAAAACAGTGTTCAGCCTTAGAGTCCAGAAATAGGATGTGATTTTGTGCTCCAAATGTGTGACATCCTTGTCTGGTGTACCACCTCACCTCACCTTGGGAAAGCTCCTTTGCTGTGCCTGGCCCTGCTCCTCACTTCCCCTGTGCTTTGGAGGCAGTGGGATAGTGCTTTCCCAAGCTCTTGCTTGGTGTGTCCATGGTTGCTTGGCCTGGACTGTGATGTAGAGATGGTGCAGGGTAGAAACAGATCTGATGAGGGGGGAGCATTGCTTTGTGATGTTGGGACGAGCTTGTCTTCCTGGGAATGCTGGTGCTGTGGCAGCTGATGCTCCTGTCTCAACTTTGTTTCCCTTTTCTAGGGTGGATCTGGCCAGCGCAACCAACCCAGCACCATGCAGCAAAAGTCTCAGGCTACCAAAACCGCCTACGGCACTTCTCCATACTGGACAAACTAAATCTGAAACTGGGGAGAGGGGGGAGAATGAAAAGAGAGGAGGAAGAAGAAAAGAAAAAAAAAGAAAACAAAAGAAAAGAGAAAATGAAAGCCGAAGCCCATTCTTTGAATTATTAGGAGAAGTTATTGCTCAGCCAAACATCTGTGCGGGGAGAACTGCAGCCAGCCGCCATCCTCTGTGTGACTCGCCTGCTTCCTCTTTGAGTTGCTGTTATATGTAATATATTTATGTATGTATTTGTAAATGTAATAGAGCCTAAATGTGGTTTTCTGCATCTTGCAGCCTGTTTTATTTTCTTTGTAGGAAAACTAATTATTCGTTTTCCATCTGCACCAGGGCATCCTTCTTTGTTTTGTATTTTAAGCTCTATGGGTTTTTAACTCTGTCAAAGACAAACTGCGCCTTTTTTTTTAGAGCTGGAGCCCATTTATTTAATGCAGTTCTAAATTCAGAGAAATAAGGAGACCTGCCCTTCCAAAAACCTAAATCAAGATGTGTCCTGTTGGTTTTACCCCCTGACCCAAAATATAGCTGTTATTTTAGAGGGGGAAAATAAAAGAAAGAAAGAAAAAAAAGTTTTGTGGGACTTCCCCTTTCTTTCATTTCCTCCCTCCCTCCCACCCTCTTGCTGTGGAAGACAAACTCTTGTGGGCAATTTCATCACTGTGGCCTTGAGCTGCAGTTTCAACTTAATTTTTCAGTTTTCTAATAATAATAAAAATAAAAGGACAGGGTTTTATTTTTTGTTTGTGCAGGGCTTTTTTGTTGGTGGTGTTTTTCTCTAGCAAGAGACTTTGGATGGCTCAGTGTGTCCTGGAACCTCCTTTGCATCACTAGAGGCAAAAACTATGTAGCGGTTTCTTAAATAAAAGTATAAGCTGTGTCTTGTACCTCTTTTTGCCCTGAGCCACATTCCCAGGAAAGCCAGAGCTACTGGATGGAAACTTCATCTGTCCCTCCCCACTTTTTTTAAAACAAAGACCTTGGAGGCAACTCCTGGTCCTTCTTGTCCTGCACCAGTGTGGTGAATGTTCTAGGAGTTTCATTTCTTTATAGCCCTTCCTCCACCTAATAAAGAACTGAGCATACCACTGGTGTCCACCTAATAAAGATCTGAGCATACCACTGGTGTTTGTCTGCATTTTCAAAGGCTCCAGGAGCAGTTTTACAGCCTGTCCCTTTCCACCTGTTCTGCTACAGCAGCCAAGCCGGGGGGCTAAGAGCTGCAAGTGGTTCTGACAACAGTGAGTTCACCTGTGTGCTGAGAGCTCTCAGGGACCCACAGCAGGGCCAAACCCTCACTCCTGCCATCATCAACCAGTTCTGCCTTTGGTGTCTCCTGAGGTGGTGCTCCAAATCCTTGTGAGCAGCTGGGATTGGTAAGGACGGAGCAGAACTGGAGTTCTGTCCTCTCTTGCTTCGCCCATAAGGTCCATGGGCTCCACTGGTCCAAGGGCAGAGGTGTGAGGGCAATTGAGGGAAGTCTCCTGCCCCAGACTTACCCTTTTGATCATCCTGTCTCCTTGCGGCAGAGGAGGTGGGTAAATGTGAAGCACATAATGGGAAAGGGGCTTTTTTTCCTTTTAGTATCCACAAGAAAAAATAAGTCTGTTTCTGCACTGAGAAATATTCTTTCTCTGTTACCAGCTCTTGTGAGACACTGTTATTACCCAGGCCTCCCACAGCCTCTGAGCAGCACAAGAACTACTCTGACATTTTTCTGCCCTGGCTCAGGTTTTGACACTGGTTGAACTCCAACAGCTGCTCCAAGCCCTTGGCAGCTGCTGCCCCACTCCAGCAGCTTTGCGGCCTCAATGTCAAGGAGGGCAAAAATGCTTCTGCAGGCAGGGGCCCCATCAGGTTGTACAAGACTGCAGCAGTGGCTGAACCCTCACAGCAGCAGCACCTCATTCACCTGCTTCAAAACAGAGACTTCTCCAGAGCTGCCTTTCACTCTCTTGAGGTCTTGTTTATATATAGACACCCAGTGCTGCTCCGCAGGTGTAGATCAGTTCCTGCATGTGTCACAGTTCAGAAGCAGCTGGAGCAACAGGGGAGAGATTGCAGCCCCCAGCAGCCCCTGAGCCTCAAATCCCACACCTTCCCAGCTGCTCTGGGGTCCTGCCTGTAGGCAGTGTTGCCTTCAGCCACAAGCAGGCTCCTCTTTTGTGAGATTCAACAAAATGTTTCTCCCTTCCCCTACATTGTCATTTTGGCAGGACTTGTCTGCAGCAGTTTCCTTTCTAAGCTTTGTTCCACTGATGGCAGAGGCATTGTTGCCCAGCTGCACTTTGCCATCAAGGAAAGGATGGGAAAACCCCTCCTTTGCAGCCCCCTGGGCTTACCCAGGCAGGTAAGAGTGGGCTGGAGCCCTTGCCCTGCCTTTGGTACCACACTGCTGCTGGAGGAAGCAGCTACTGGCAGTTCAGGGCAGCCCAGTGCTGTAGGGTCAGTCAGGAGATAAGAGCAGGCCAGATCCCAGACAGCACCATCCCTCCAGTCCCTTTCTGTAGTATGGAGCCTGCTTTGGGAAGGCAGCTCCAAAATGCCATTCCTCCAGCTCAGCTGTGCAACAGAAGCACTTGGGCCCCAGCCACATTTGACTCAGCAGTTGCTGTGCTGCCATTGATCCCAAGTGCAGCCAGTGCAACTCCCTGGCACTTGTCCGGCTAATTTTAGCTCGACTGCAGCAGGGGGGCACTGCAAACACCCTGCTCCCCTCCTGAGCCTGCAGGGAACAGCAGAGGACAGGCAGGACTGGCACTCACGAGGGCTGGCAGCCATGACCTCAATTTCTCTGCCGAAGCTGCTCCCTGACCCAGCGGTCAAACTCCTCCTCCACCCTGTCCAACCCTTTCAGGAGCATCGTGCTCCTGCCCTGCCAGGGCACTGGCCACCAGCAGCTCTGTGTCCTGTGTCCCTGCTCCAGTCACATGAAACCACCAACCACTCCAATGGTCTCCCACTTCTTGACTTAGGGAGGCTAAACGTAACAGCAAAGGCCTGGCCTTTTGCCAAAGTCCTTCTCTAAATCAGTTTGTTCTTTAGTCTTAGGTGCAGGCAGCTGTCAAACAGCAGCTTTATTTTGCAATAAACTGATTGATATTTGTGTATAAATATGTCTATTGATACCAGAGCAGCAATGAACTCATGAACAGCTGTTATTCAAAGCTTTGAGTAACTCATGCAGTGCAACCAGCTCAAACATGGAAGTAATAGCACAGAAATATTTTCATTTCACATTTTTATTAGTAGACAGATGTGCAGAAAAGACAAAATATAACTACTGAAGAAGAAGACAACACAAAAATGCATCAGTTAATTCTTTCTGGTAAATTATACTGAAGAAAAAAAAGGAAAAGATCTGGGAGTTCAGCTAAGAAAACTACTAAGAAATCTAGTGTACCCTGCTGGTTTCAGAATGGTTGAAAACTGCATTTGAAGGGACATGTAGTTGCAAATGTAAACGCTAATATTGACTGAAACAGGAGAAAAGGGACTAAGAAAAAACCAGAATACACAAAGCAGGTAAACATTTTTCTGCAATCTCTTAAATAGTTTCAAAAAAATCCCCTCATACTTCAGTTGTATCTGAAAAAAAGGAAACCAGCAAGTCAACAAGCAATGACACTGCACAGGACAGCGGGGAAGAGAAATTAGTCTGGTTAACCAACGTCAGAGCTCTCAAAAGAGGTTGCTTTTTTGTCGTTAAAAAAGGGTAACAGAAGAGTCATAATAATGCATCTTTTACAACACCAAGCTTGGAAATACAAGTCACTGGAGAGTATACAGTGAAGACGGTCAAAAGTACAAGGGAAATCCTGAAAGATGCAGTATCCTCATTTCCAACCAAGTCATCAGCAAAGTCAGCGTTGCCACATTCTGGTCCTTCACCCCCCCCAGCCACCTGAAAGTTGGAGGCTGGTGCCTCCCTGCCCTGGCATGGCCCCGAGTCCAGTCCTGCAGCCGGGAGCACCAGGGGCCCATTTGCCAACCCTGGCGCTGCCCTCGCAGGGCTGGTGTGAAGCTGGGGGTGCCCCACCCTATCACTAGACGCAGGGGAGCCCCGCTGCAGGCCCCAAAAAACACCTGGGGCTGAGTCAGTCCTTGCTGGAAGAAGGCTGACACCTCAGGAGGGTGGAGCTGCCTTCCCAGGTAACAGGCAAGCAGGAAGGCAGGAGACCGAGGGAGCGATGGGCACAAGGAATCGCCACTCGGGCAGCCTTCACTGCCTGTGGGCGGAGGGATGCAGTGCCGGGGCAGGGACTGTCCCTCCAAACCCCAGCAAAGCAACATCTTGGAAACATCTGCCTTGTTCACTTCATGCGGAGCCCCGAGGGCTTTCCTCTCCTCTCGTCTGCTCTCTTCTCCTCTCCGTCCGGGCAGCGCACTCGGAACTTTTGCTCAATGTCGCACCGGGACGCAGCCACGGAGCGGATCCAGAACAAAGCCTGTTCCCACCCCAGCACCCCCGAGGGACCTGCAGCTGGTGACGTACCATGGAAAACCCTGAGATACACGGAGGGGAGGCGCAGCCTCTGGTCAGGGTGATGCCTCTGTACCTGCGGGGATCGAGAGTTTCGCCCAAGCAGGGCCAGCACCTCCAATCTGCTCCCGGGGCTGCCAGGCCCAGCTGCCGATCCAGGGATCATCAGAAAGGGGAACGCGGGGCACTGCACCACAGCCAAACACAAGCACGCTGCAACGGGGGGAGGGCTGAGGGTCTGAGGAAGAGAGTTCTCAGACAGGAGCATGCAGGATCCCCCTGCCCAAGACAGAGCGCCCTAAGCTCTGCCAAGGGCTTCCAAAAACATGCGGGAGGCTAAGCTCGGGGCACCAGCTGAAGCACACTGCTGAAGAGCCTGTCAAAACCTGCTGCTGGCCTGCTCTGCTGTGGGGCTGCACACACCTCTGAACCCCAGGGAGCTGGGCAGGGGAAGAGCCCAGCACTGCCCACTTCTGCCCTGCAGCACAGACAGCCCGGACATCCCACGGGCACCAAAGTGAGTTCCAAACTCCGACAGCCTTGCAGGCTCTTCTCTGAATTCCTCTGGGAAGTGCATGCAAAGTACTTCTCTTAAAAAAAAAAATAACCAACCCAAAAAATCTAGTCTTTGCTATCTCTTACCACTCTGCTGAGAAACCACAGTAAAGAACTTGTTTCCTTAAAAATGCAAGTGCTGGAGGAGAACAAACAGAATCCCCCTCGTTTATGAGCTCTTCTGTGTGTAGTTGAAACCTCAATCTATAACTTCAGCTTCCATGTTTACAAAGAGAATTATAATGCAAGTCAATGCCTATGAAAGGTGGGCAGAATTCCAGATATATTCAGGGAGCTAGGCTCTCACATTGTATCACTTAGATTGTCTTTTTTGAAATCAAACATTTTTATTTCCCATATAGTCAATTACCTTTTCTGTGTAGATAAACCTACCTCTAAGCAAGTGCATGTCAAATGTTCTTAAGCTCAGCCGTGCAGAGCCACACCTGCCCACAGGTGAGCCACACAAGTGACAGAAGGCAGCTCCTGATGCACAGGGCTGGGGCTGCAGGGAGCAAGAAGTGCCAGCCAGCACAGGGCAGGAGGCTGCTGGTCAGTCCCACTGCCAAAAATAAGTCCAGCAGGAATGGTGGCCCTCTGGGCAGCAGGATGCACATCTGCTCCCGTCCCTTCAGAGAGAGACAGCTGGCAGCAGATCTCAGCAGAACAGCTAAACTCAACTTTTTCAACCCTGTCCTAGTCTGAAAAAAATTTAAAAAAAAATAGCAACCCAGGGCTCAGTTGTACAGATGTGAAGTGTTAAGTGTTTATTTTAGGGTTCATATCACAAGCCTTTTCCAGAGACAAAACTGATTTTGCCCTCTGGGGCTCCAGGGGCCAGCTATTTCCTAACTTAGCAGGCAGGAAAGGAATACTGTACCTTTCAGTGACATCCCATTCAAGCTCAACACACAGTAGCTTTACACTCTCCGCCCCACACCTTATAAAGGAAAAGCCACCACCACGAGGCTAAACGAATGTACACACGCTATTATTGTAAATGGAGCAGCTAAACCTTGGCAATTTGCTTTTTGGGGATTTTTTTTTTTTTCTTCCCAATAAATGCAGCACTTTGAGCTCCCAAAAACACGGCTTCCAATGGGTTTGTTCCAGCTTTAAATGCATTAAACATCTCAACGCAAGACTGTATTTAATTCAAGAATCTAAACACAAGCAAACCTGTTTTGCTGTGAGCATTTCGTAGAGAAGTGAAAAGGGGAGTTTCTTTTTTAAAAAGAAATTGTAATACAGTGATGAAAGGGTTAAGAATGCAAGAATTCAGACATTCTGTGGAGGGTCTCTAAGAGGTCCATAAAAAAGGAGCGAACAGATCCATACAACAGGAGACAGCAGGAGACAAAGTTTTGTGTTGGGTTTTTTTTTTGTTTTGTTTTTTTTGACACCCCCCCCTCCCCCCCCACTTTTTTGCTGGACTGCTGCTAGGTTACCGCTGCTCCCTTCTGGCCTGAGTCGGCAGGGCAGTACAGGGGCATAGAGGGAGCAGGTCACGACTCCTCGTTGCCAGAATCATCATCATCGTAACAGTCGGCATCCTCCTCTTCCTCATCCTCATCGTCAATGTCGTCATCGTACAAGTCGTCGTAAAGCAAATCTGAACTGTTGTCATTGGAAGGCACTTTAGTTTTGATGCAGTACTCTGCCAGTGTAGTGGGGACCTTCACACCATCCTTCTCTGCCTCAGCTTTGGTAGCCAAAACCTGTTTCCTGTGGGGAGAAGGACACAGCAGCAGTGAGAGCAGGGCCGTGTGCCAGGGGCTCCATCTGCCCCACCCGCCCCTGCAGACCCTGCCCAGCCCTCCTGGAAACTCGGACAGGGGAGCTGAGGTTTGCAGGAAGTACCAAAAGCAGCACTGGAAACAGATTTGGTTCCTGCAGCCCCAGACTTGGGAGAATGCCAAAGGTGTTTGCAGCACACTCACTCTCAGCAACATATGAAATCGGTTATTCCACAGTCTCTGCACTAGAGATCTGCCACAGGTCAAAGCAAATTCCATTCACTACCGTAGGGATGGCCAAGGATTTCCTAGGATGATTTATTGACTCTGCTGCTGACAACTCTCCCACAGCATGCTCAAAACTGCAACTCCCACAAACCTTTGGCAGCTCTCAGCTCCCATTGGAGGGTCAGAGCAACAGGGGCACATGGCAGCACCCCAGGACACAGCCTGAGGCTTGCAGAAGCCAAGTGTTTCCCACCACCCCGGGCAGGCCCGGCTGCTGTGTCCCAGCAGGGAGGAGCAGATGGTAGCCTGTCCCCTCACCCACCCACTGCCTGTCAGACTGCCACTCCCTGTGTGAAGTGCACCCTGCTCTGCTGGAGCCGAGGGAGCTGAAGGATTCTCTGCACAGACAGAGCCCCACTGGCCCCACTCAGGGCCACATCTGCCTACTGGCAGAGACAATGCAGATGTGGCCTCCTGCCAGCTCTCCAGGCTGGGCTGTCCCTCCACAATAGCCCTGGCCCATGCTCACATCATCCCCCTGCAGCTCCTGACAAACTATGGACTTCTGCAAGGGCAGCACTGAGCAGTGCTTCCAGCTAATCCAACCCAGCTTTGCAAGCCCTTGACAAATCCTGCTGATGCTCCTTTGAATTGGTGGGACAAGATTACGATTCATGCATGCATTAAGCACAGAAATTAGTAGGATGCATTCAGTTTGCATCACATCCCAAGCAATGCAGGGCTCAAAGACAAGCAGGGACTTTGACTGGGATTTACTAGTAGCCAATAGGTTTTGCAGAGCATCATGACAGATTAGCCTGAAAAAAAGGAAAATTTAAAGACAAATCAGCCCAGTCCTCCTGCCCCAGAAGTTAGCACTGCTTCTGTGTGCTGAAAATTCTGGAGGGACCTGAAGCGTGGACTTTGAATAAAACAATGAAATTAATTTCCAAATTAAATTCTGCTGCAGAAAGCTGGTTTCAGCAAATTCTGGAAGCAGTCTGTTTGATAGGACTCAAAGCAGAAGGCTGGTAGCCCAGCATCACAAGTGGCCAAGTTTACCTTATGATTTCGGCGTACTCCTTGTCTTTTCCTTTACTGTCCCTCCATTTCCTGAACATGACTGATGCATCCACATTGGCTGGGGAGAATGTGTTGGGCTCGTTAAGCAAAGAGATTACACTCAGTAAGATAGTCCTGAAAGAGGTAATCACAACAGGAGAGTCAGAGCTAACATATTCAGGAATTCTGGATATCCACAACCTCTTTAGGTGTTGCATCTTAAACTTGTTTGAAATGAAGTCTTAAGCTGAGGACAGTGGTTTTTAAGCGAAAGCAGGTATTTATGAACCTCAGACCCTGGACATTGGTGTAAGGAAGGTGATACAAACACAAACTTCATGTGACTACAGACCCTTGTGTCTGTGCATGTGCTTGGGACAGGGCAGCATTCAAAGCTACAATCAGACCAGAATTCAGGTTGTCTGCACTATCCACAGATGGTGAGGAGATGGAAATCTGCTCTGTGAGCTGTTCCTGGTGGCTCGCAGCCTCCAGCAGGAAGCCAGGCTGTTTGCCTGCCCTGCACAGGGAGAAGGACCACTATGACCCAAGGCCAGCAGAAAAGGCTGCACTACTTTACCCCTGCCCTGCCAGGTGGTGGAGGCTGAGGTCAGGGCAGGACTCTCCTCACTCAGGCTGCAGCAGCAGATCCCGAGCACAGCAAGGGGAAGACAATGTAATGCTTTTCAATGCCCAGGCAAAGTGCCAGGGCCCAGTGGGATTCAGCTGCTGGTACTCAGCATTGCCAGCATGAGCCAGTCACATAACCCCTGTCAGGCAGGCAGACAGACAGATGTACAGTCTTCCAGGATTTTCAGCCAGGTTCTCTGCTCTGCTGGCATTTACCAGCTGCAAACCCCATCCTCATGCCCAGAGCTTTCTCCTGCAGTCCCTAGAACCCTTTGCATTTGAGAGATGTAGTCTTTGCTGCTCTTGCTGTGCCCCAACCTGCACAAACTCCCATACCCAGCCACTGGCTGTAGCTGCCACCATGACAGTGTCACCCAACCCCATGGTCCTGCAGCAATGGCTTCCCTTTCAAGTGGAAGGAATAAACAAGAACGGGGAATAGTTCTTGAAACACAGGATTACCTAACAGCCACTTCACAGACCTTGATTAAAGGAGACTGGGAGCTGCAGTTGTGTTTGCACTGATTCAGGGACATGTTCAGAGCACATCTACTGGATCATATATCTGGGTACAATTCCAGGAAATGCTTGGTCATTTGGACACTGAGTATCTTGAAAGGTTTTGAAAATAAACACTTGTCTCTGAACAGACTGTTCAGCACAGCTATCAAGAGAGTCTTATACAATTCATTTTCTAAATTATATAATTCTGTACGAAAAAGAGAACAGCAGCTCTGGAGAAAACTGTCTCATTGGACTGGAATGATGGGCATAAGAGATCATTTTCTACTTCATCTCAAGAATTCATTTAAGAGCCTTTGATTCTCTGCAAACAGGCCAGCATGTCAGCTCCAGTATCATGTAGCAGCTTTCATGTAGAGCAAACGAAGTCTAGGGATGGCTGAGGACCGGAATTCTGGATTTAGCATCTGCTCTACCACACTTCCATCAACAGTGATGAGAAGCCAATTTTCACTGTGGTGTCCAGACACCAAAGTCACTGCAAAGCTACTTAAATACACCAAAACAACTGTATTGGAAGTGAAACTCTGAGCTCTTCATTCCCATCCAGCACATTAGATCAACTCCATCACAGCTGATATCTTTAAGAGCTGGACAGTGTCCTCAAACTCAAACCTGGTTGCTGTGAACAAAGTACAGTAACAGGCATCCCAGTATGGGGGATTTGACAGGACTAAAAGCACCAAAAATGTTCAGCCATGTGAGACTGAAAACCTCAGCACCAGACAGAAACTGCATAGGCTGGATATAGGCTGAGTCTCTGGGTTATTGTCAAGGATCTGTCTCCCCTAGAGACAAGGCTGCTGTAGCTGGGAAGAGCAGCCAGCAGAGGTTCAAGGAAACAGACCTGTTAAGGACCCTTTTTTTTCATGTATGAATGTAAGAAGGCTCAGAGACAGACCAATTTATTCACAAAGACATGATGTAGACTGGCTGATGTTCTCAACCAGCATATCCTGTTATATTCCTTGTTGAAAAAGGATTTTTTAAAAATCCCAGCTGCTATCCACATTGTAGCCTCTAAGAGCCACCTCAAGAAGTAAGTATAGATTGGTCCAAGGGCATTTTTGCCCTCTGGTATAAAGTTAAAAGTTTTAGCCTAGGCTGCACTGACAGTCACATTACTGGATCAAGCTGTTTGTGGAAGCTTCCCAAATCTTAGGCAGCAAAAAAACCCAAGAAAAATGGGAATCCCCACGAAACAAAGCAATAGGCAGACAGTGCGTCACCTATCTGCAGGAGATACAGGTGTACCAGTACCTTGAATACTGTGAGAGTCCTGGCCTGTGCAGTTCAAGGGCAGTGAAGACTGGGGAGATGTGGAGAAAGACAACTAAAATGATCAGAGAGCCTCAACCCCAAGCCTTGCCACCACTCACTCAACTCCATGGGCCACAGAAAGCAGTGTTCTCTGGCAAACAGATCAGAGCTGCGTTCCCTCATATCTTGCTGGGTTTTGCAGTATTTACTTATGCCTTTAGCACCTAGCTCCCAGTGATGGGAAAGTCCATACTGATTGTGTTTAAAAAAATAAATGAGCCTGCTCGACACCTTTAGAGGTGGAAGCACAGGTGAACTCTCACAGCTGAAGAATGAATTTTCCCTTTCAGACACTTCAACCCCGCTCATCTCTGGGCAAACAGTCAACACTTGGCAGGATTTACAGAATTCACCAGCTGAGGAGCAGCTCCCTCCCACATCTTCAGCCCCTCTGCCTCCTGTCTGACACTCTGGAGCTTTCCTAAGCCAGATGGGACCCCAACAGGTTTCACTTCTGCTGGCACTCTGCCCAGCTGGTGATGGTGGTAGCAAGCTAGAATGAAGGACCAGTTTTACTTTCGTTCGCTGATACATTCACTGGCTGAGGAATGTTTTGACCTGTCATCCTTAAGCTCAAGATGCTTCAAGAGCATTAGCACTGAAAACTGTGACTGTAGTGAGGGAGAGCAGAAATTAGAGAACAAGCACCATGAGAAGTTCCATGTCAGTCTCTAGGGTTGAATATAATGAAATAATCAAAATGTATGTGTGATATACATAATTAATGCCTAAAGCTGTTTCCTAACTGTGAGTTAAGGTTTGTCACCTAGTTGATTCTTTATTTGAGTAATGAGAATGGAATTCAGCTGCTGTTTCAAACACATGAACAGGTTAGGCCTTGAATGCTTCTGGTACTTAGTGATCCTTCGTATTTTTGGCAGGAAGAAAAGCACCAGCTGCTCCCAACATGACTCAGCAGGACAGGAGATAGACCAACAATGAAATACAAACAAAAGGCAGAACTCTGCAAAGTTGCTTCTACTGGTCAGAATATTCAAAAACATACTGTACTGGGCTTGCAAGGCCAAGCTTTGGTAGCTAGGGGGGCTACAAGGGTGGCTTCTGTGAGAAGCTGCCAGAAGCTTCCTCTATGTCCAGCAGAGCCTGTGGCAGCTCCAAGATGTGCCACTGGTCAAGGCTGGGCCAATGGGAAATGGTGGTAATGTCTCTGTGACAATATTTTTAATAGGAAAGAAGTTTTAATTGCATCCAGAGAAGAGTGGAGTGAGAAGATGTGAGAGGAACAACCCTGCAGACACTCAGGTCAGTACAGAAGGAGAGGCAGGAGCTGCTCCAGGTATTGAAGCAGATTCCCCTGCAGCCTGTCAACAAATGGTGAGGCAGCTGTGCCCCTGCAGCACAGGGAGGACACAGGATCTCTATGCACCTGTAGCTCCTGGGGGAGCCCAGGCTGGAGCAGGAGGATGCCTGAGAGGAGGTTGTGATTCTGTGGAAAGAATGGAGAGAGTAGCTCTCACTGGAGCAGCCTGTCCTGAAAGAATTGCATCCTGTGCAAGTGTGACCCACACTGCAGCAGTTTGGGGAAGACTACTGCCCATGGGGTGGACTCATGCTGGCAGAGTTCCTGCAGAAGTGGCCTGCCATTGGAGGGACCCCATGGTGCAGCAGGGGAATACTCCTCATCCTGAGCAGCAGAAGAAACAATGTGTGATGAACCGACTGTAACCCCCATTCCCATACACTGCTGGGACAAGAGGTAGAGCTGGAAAGGAGGGAGAGGTAGGGAGAAGTTGTTTTTAAGGTCTTATTTTACTTCTGATTATCCTGCTCTGATTTTGTTGGTAATAAATTTAATTAATATCTCTAATTCTAACCCGTTTTGTCTGTGATGGTGTTTGGTGAGTGATATCTCCTGGTCCTTATCTGCTGCAGAAGATCATCAGGACAATAAGCAGATAGGTAAGGCTGTGAAGATTGGAATAGCTCAGGTACACTAAGGCTGGGAGCAAAAGGATGAGCTGTTTCTAGCCACAGGCCACTTCAGGACATCTAGGAAGGGGTGCAACACACAGATGGGCTCATCACTGAGCCATGTGGGATATAAACATGACACAAATGGAGTAAAGAGTGGAGATTGTACTGAGTCTGGTTGAGCAGTTTGTTGAGTTTGTTTGAGTTTCCCTTAGCAGCCCTCAGTGCTTTCCATTCATAGTTAGAAAGGTGTTGATAACACACAACTGTTTTGGCTACTGCTAAGAAGTGTTGGCACAGCATCAGCACGGTCTCTAACATTCCCCATGCCCCCATAAAGGGGCTGAGAAGTGGCAAGATCCTAGGATAGGATGCAACCAGGCCAACTGGTCCTAATTAACCAAAGGGATATTCCACACCATATAACATCAGCTCAGATATGAAAGCTAGAGTTAGAGAGGAAGAATGGGAGACATTTGTTATATAACAATGCTTGCCTTCTGGAGCAACTGCTACATGTGCTGAAGACCTTCTTTGTGGGAACTGGCTGAACATTGCTCACCACTGGTAAGCAGAGATGCATTTCTTTCCCCCTTTGCTTATGTGCACACAAGCTTTTGCTATTGCTTTAGTAAAATGCCTTATCTCAACCTACAGGTTGTTTTCCATGTTATTTTTCTCTCCCCTGTCCTGCTGGGAAGGGAGTAATGGAGCACTTTGGTGGGCACTGGGAACCCATTACAAATACTTTTCCACTAGTGGTACTTTGAAGAAGAGAACAGTGACTGAGAAAGGCTTCAATAATTGAGATAATTTGCCTTCAGATATGAAACCCTGTGAATAGGACAGAAGGCTATGCACTGTCAGCCCAGTATGAGGACACAGAAGCCCAGTATGCTCAGACAGACTGGCAAGTCTGGTTCCCACTTGATTCAAGTCCTAAATCCCACACAAACAAACTCCCTCCCAAACCTCTCCTCACATAGGCCCTAGCTCTTGTAGAGATGGCAGGCCTTAGGTGTCACCACTCCACAACGTATTCACAGTTACCTGACATTTTGGGTAGGGTTCCACCTTTCTGATGGCAGCTCTCCACTTTGTGGGTCATCTACAGGTGGGTGAAGAATTGAAATACATACATCTCCATTCTGCAAGACAGAAAAAAGCACTGAGAATAGCTTGGCTGGAGGCTGAGGCCTGCTGACTCATAGCCACCATTCTGGCTGTCTTCTGATCAGTTTAATCTTGTTGATATGAACACCCAAGTGCCAATAAACACCAACAAGGGCTGGAAATGGTTCTGAAATCTTGGATCTGCTTTATATACAAGAGTTAGCCTGGCAAAAAGCCCAATATAAATTCTAGAGGTTTAAAGAATGTACTGAAGTAAGCAAAAATAGTAATAATGTAACATAAAACTAAAACTAAATAAAACCAGATAGCAAGTACTACTGTCACAGTGACACAAGCTTTAATCACAGGAAACACAAAGCAGGGTTAAAGAAAATTTGTGTTCCCATTGGTAGCTTGAGGAAAATTGATAGCTACAGGAAATTTTTTAATTGAAGGGTTTAATCACCATCTACTATCTCAGGTATGAAAACATTAGATCTCACAGGACACAAGTGTGTTGAACAGATGGTGAGGGGCAGGCTTACACAGCTCCCCTAGAACACAGCTGTTCAAAATACCAGACAAAAAAGCAGGAGATGCTCTCCAAAAGTTTCACTGAAAATCCCTTCCAGCATGCAACAGGAAGAATATTCTGGGAGCATATGGAAGCCATACAGCCACATAATCCTCAATATGTGCTCTACTCACCAGTGTTATGGCCTGAATATAGATTTAAAGCTCCACAGTGCCTATTTAAGAAAGGTGTCAACCCAATTCTCCATCAGCAACAACACTGTGACACAACTGCTGTGTACAAGAGTGGGAGCAGTATCCACTCCAGCTGATATTCTCTGCTGAGGCAGACTCCAGGGACTCACATGGTACCAATGCCTTACTGCAGGACAAGGTGAAGAAGCAGATGAGGCCTCAGGCCAGCCAGCAGATACTAGCCTCTCCAAGCCCCATGGGCTTTGCTCTCCTTTGCAGCCAGCTGTGGGGTGAATCACAAATTCCTAGAGGCATCACCACACCTTCAGTAGGCACAGCCCCAGCTGAAGGACAGCACTCATGGTGTCCCTTGTCACCCTTATCCAGAGCAAAGCCTGATGAAGGATCAGTTCTGTTCAGGACTCCAGGCTACCAGCTTTCCACACACCTGGTCCCACGTCCTTCCAACACTGCTTGAACACAGAGCAGGGCTGCTCACAGCAACAGCATCTGTGCCTTTGAGCCCAAGCCAGTGATCACAGCTACAGATAGCAGCAGCTCACCTCGGGGGGTTGTGATCTGTATTCAGATTTCAGTGGTGCACTGTTCCCGCCAGGTATGCTAATCTACCAGGCCCTTGTCACTTTGAAACAGGTTTTAGTCAAGAACACAGCAAGGCAGCACCTGGAACTGCTGAATTCCAAAGCACATATTTATGTTGCTGGAATAGTTTGCTTTAAGAAGGCAGTTTCCCTTTTATGATGCCAACAGGCTTGTGAAATCTTGGAATTTTTTTAGTATCATTCCAAGGTGAAGTTAACTTTACTAATATTAGATTATGCTCAGTCTACTCTGCTTTTACAAATAATTTCCATTGGTTTTTCCTTTAACCTTTTTCTGGGAGAATGCAATGCTAGTGCCCCAGAGGAGGTAACTCAGCACTTGGAGAAAGTTCCTGAAGCAGTCAGGAAGAGTCTGGAAGGGCAAAGGTATAATGGGGCCTGATGAGGTCAACACAAGGTTTTTAGGGATCAGGACAGTCAGGGGCCAAGCCTTTCCCTACATGAATTTTTGAATGACCGGCAAGGAGAATGGGGTATTCACCTGCCACTGAGAAATATCCTACACTTCTATCAGGACTGAGAACTGTTATGTCATAAAAATAAAGAACAAGTGAATGCAGTTTTATCAAAGTTCAATTAGATGACCCAAATAAACAGAGATGGGAAAACACACACTGCTCAAGTCTCACTGCTCAGAATTGGAATGTCAGCCTCAGCCTCTCCATCTGGTCCCAGCAGCAGATTCTGTAAACTGCTACTTTCTTTCATCTTCCTTGCACTTTGTCCCCCATCCTATTGAAAAAACCTCAAATCTCAAATGCTCTGCTGAGATAGTCTCAGTTTCATCTGGAGTTATTCCAGTGCCTCATCTTCATTGCTTAAATGTTGTTTCCAAAACAGCCTGCAAGCTGCTTCAGATTCCCTCAGCTACAAGAAATACTGCTATGAACACAAAACACAAGGTTGAGAGTTTGTGTACTTCAAGAGCAAACCCAAAATACACCTGTCGGGTTTTGGGTTAGTTCCTCCTGCTGCCTTCAGTTGTTTCTAGTCAACTTTTCATTTTTCTCATTAGGACTGGGAGAGGTCCTTTCCCAGGCTTGTTTTTGTATATTTCATTTTGGTAACGATTTGCCACTCACCTCCTGCATGAGGGTTTCCAGATTCAGAATCAATACCCACAGTACAGGTCTGCAATTATATGAGGATTTCAAAGTTGTCTTTATTTATAGATCAAAATTCCATGTAACTGAAATAGAGCCTTAAGGAGAAACACCATCCTTGGCTACAGGAAAGATCCTCTGCCAGATACAAAATCCACATTAGAAAACTGTCAGATAACTGGTTTGAGGATATCCCTGGACTTAGGGCAATCCTCTGGATCAGTAAATAATTAAAGCCGGTTACTATTCTGTTCTGCACTGAAGTTTGGCACAGTTTCTAGCCATTTATTACTAAGCCATCAGTGCAGTTCTCATCACAATATTTGAAGAACACCCATTCCAAGCTGGGCATTCAGCAGCAATAACTTATCAGAAAGGGCTTTCCAAGCCCAAACCATCAACTGAAGCATTTGCTCACAGGATTGATGAGAATGACATTCCTGTTTTCAGGTGGGTTCAAAGGAAGCCTGCAGAACCTCTCATTAGAAAACCTCTGATAAAGTGAGAGACCTGCACCAACAGGAACATTTTCAAGTCCTTTAGCTCCCAAAACTATAGAACCAGTGCTCCTTAGCAGGTTGACATTCTTCTAGAATACCTGAAAGTTCAGCTAGGATTTGGCTGACCTCCAGTAAAAGTCAAGTTTTGAACCAAATATGCCTTCAGACTTCAAATACAGCCCTATGGAACTGGGTGATATTGAACCAATTGCTTCTACTTAGAATTATTCATCTTCTGGACCTGCTGTCTAGTTCTATTGTGATCCAACTGCTGACAGTCCATAGCCTTGACTACCCTCTGAAAATAACCCATACACATACTGAGTTTAAGGAAGCAGAAAGTTCTCTCATACACCATAGAAAAAGTTATTTACAAAACACCTTACCTCATAAATGTTGGGGTGCCACATTTTGGTCAGGAATCTGAAGGTAGGTGGTGAATATGGATAGTCAATAGGAAATTTAATGTGAGCCTGAAAAAAAGCAGAATATGTTAGCTATGAAACAGAACAAAAAAGACCAACAAGCAAGAACTACAGTGAAAAGATAGGGGAAAACATTCATTAAGGCTACAAAATTGCTCATTTTATAAACCAGTTCCCAAGTGGCCCCACAGAATAACTCTATGCAACTTCATACGAGCAAAACACTAACTGAACAAGAGAAATCGAAACACCTAGGCTGGTAATGCTCAGAAAACAAGCCAAAACTCATTTACCATGTCCTAATTCAAGAAGCACTATTCAACAGCTGCTGTTAAAACAAGACAATATATACTGGAAAAGTTTTAACTCAAGAGAGCATTGCTCGTTTTTGAGTTCAAAAGCAGACTAAAAAAATGTTTACTAAGCTGAATAGACCTGTTTTGTATTTGCCTGTACAAATATTTAAAATTTGTATTTTATGTATTTGTATGTACAAATATTTAAAACTTTTCCCGTGATGAAAAAAAAAAGTTACGTAACTTGCTCTAGTTATTTTGCCTTCCTTTGAAAGTTAAGCTGCTCTGTCCACCTGTGTTTCTAATAATATATTTTGCCACCACAGCCTTTTGTTGAAGTCTCAAAATCATCCATGTCTGTTTAATATATCAGTGCACCTTGACAAATATTGATGGGCAGTGACAGCAAACGTCTTGCAGTGGTCAACAACCATCCGTGGGGCACAACTTCAAGTCGAGTCGGTTGTGGGAAGGCTGCAGAGATCCTAGCACTGGAATTTAACTTCTCTGTGTTGTCCTGCTGTACAGCAGCAGTCTGAATATGGACTGATCAAGTGTCCAAAATACTTCTCTATGGAAGGTGGACTTGCACGCTGCTTGCTGTGCTGTGGAGCACAAACCCTTTCCTTGGAACTGCTCAACTCACCAAAAAGTCCTATTGCAAGCCCAGCAAGGGATGTCCAGAGAAGCATCTCCTGGTCCCTCAAACACAGCCAGGCTCATTTGCAACAGAGAATGCAAAAAGAGATCCCAAAAGCAACATTCATATTTATTCTGGTTTGAGACAAATTTAGGAGGAAATCTAGTCATCCTAGGACAACATGGTAAGAGCAGAATTCCAGGTCACTCTCTTCCACTTAAGTACCTAACCATGCCACTTGTTCAAGAAGAGAAACTTTGGAAAGTTCTGTTCCATAGTACACAGAAACAGACAACCAAACAAATGGATTACAGAACTGTTAAGTACCTGCCTACAGTATCAGCACACACCTTTGCCTTACAACCCAAATTTTATGGGATCAGAGTGCCAGGTAGTCAAGAAGAGAAGGTTTTATATTCACCTTTATGAAAGAAATTCACCAGCTCACATGTCCTTATGGTCTCTAGATGCCAACTCATGAATGTATGTGGGTATGTTACAGCAGCACTGAGTCCTCACCCTGCAGTCATTTGTCACAGAACACTGACAGCCAAGAGATTTATGATCCACTTAAACAATCCCATAGTTTAAGGCCAGTTGTATGAATGGCATTGCTCCAAGAGCAGTGAGTGATTGGCTCTTGTCACCACACACTGCTGCAGCAAGGACATGCCTGGGTCACAGCATGCCAACCTGCACTGTGATCGGAGCAGACATCTACCCAGTGCAGGACATAATCACTCCAACTCAAGTGCTTGCATCATATAGCTACAGACTCCTCCAGACACTGGGGTTTTCCCAGGAAAGCCCATTCCTCTGCTTACACACAGTTTTGTGAGATGTAAGACATAAAACAGCAAAAGGACCCAGATTAAAAATGCAAGAGACAACAAAATTCAGTGCTGAGCTACCAACAAGATGCCTTAGCAAAATCTGTCTTCTACACAGCCACAGCTTCCAGGTGACCAAACCAAAAAACATTATGCCAGTAGACTACCAGCACTGCCATGCTTATAACGCATATAGATGCTCGAGGAGTGCAGGTTTCATTCCTCCCAGTAAAACCGTTTTCATTCAAATTGTCTAATCCTGAAGGGTTTGTCTCAACAAGGCCACTCCAGAAGCTGAGCCTGAGGCACCAGTATGTGTCTGTATGTGACGCAGACTCCTGCAGAAGCTATACATCCTGAAAGACTGTTCCAAATTTCTAAATCCTGTTGACAAATGGTGTTCTTTATTAGAAAAGGAGTAGCTGCCTACAATAACTATCACTATGGAATGCAGTGTTGTGTCACATGAAGGATTCTCTTGAGCTCTAGGAACAGAAAAGGCAACCAGAGAAATAAAGAGACATCTTTCTTTCCCCCACACAGGCAGCTAAGAACCTAGCTTCCCTGTAATCCATCATATATTTAGAGAAAGCAGTCACATTACAGGGTGATCAGCAATTTCTGACTAGTCTGTAGCTCTTTAGCACATTGAGATTCTGTACTGGAACATAAAGCATCAGTGAGGCTTCTTTACAAACGTGATTTCAGAGTGAAAAGCCTCCAAAACAGAAAACCTCAAATTACAGGCAGGGATTTTTCCCAAACAAAAAGAGCACCACTGTCAGGTCCCCATGGTGAGATCATCCAGAATTTGAAAGTGAAACCAAACACTTTTCCAGGCCATTACAAACAGGTCTGAGAGAATTACCTCATCTCTTCTGCAAGAGAAACCAAGAAGAAAGTTACGTAAGCCTACTCTGCTCTCACTGAATGCTATTTGAGTTTCTGTGTGGGTTAAGCAAGCCAAGAACTTCCAAGACAAGCTGCAAGACTGCTTGCACAGATGCAGCAACAGCCACAATTTTTTTCCCCACTGGAAGCCTACTTCTAAACACGTTAAAAAAAAAACCAAAAAGGACCAAATTAAGCAATAAACCTAATTTTAAATAGGGTTCACAGAATAGTTTTCCCCTACAGTTTCACTGATATAAGGCAAAAAAATCTGTTAAACTTAGCCAGGCTGCTAGGTACTAGAGAGTGGCAGAGTTTTCAGGGAGCTTGTTGTTAGCTCAACAACAAGCCACACGAACTAATTTAGGAGGACTAAAGATGCAGCTCAGTTCCCCCCTGCAAGTTCCAAACAGATACTGCATTCACCATGTGCCTGACTCCTCAAACTGAGCTTAAACAGAACAAAAACAATCCTATTTTGTTGCTGATTTTAGCCAGCTTCGTGTCATGGCTCCTTGACATCACTGAACATACTCGGTATCGAGGAAGGTAAAGACCAGTCAGTAATCAACCCTTTTCTCCCTTCCCCAGTTTGTAACTAGTCATGGTTATAGTCCCTAGAAGAATAAACTCTTCTACATAGTCCAGCCTGGGAGAAGATACAGCCCTTTTCAGACTTTACTCCCACGAGAACTTCAACTTCCAAATTACACCATAGCAGATATTTCAAGAATATTGCTACCAGCATAGTCACTTAGTTTCCTATTTTATTGCTCCCCTGCATCTTCAACAGAGACTGCATTTCAGCTTTGTTAATTTTCTTTAAGTTGGATAAGACAAAGGCACAAGTTCTGTTATATATGCCCTGTTATATATGCCAGAAAAATACACGGTCTCACTAGATCTTATGTGACTGAAAATAATAACCTATTGTTTCTGTCAACCACTGAATTATTCACTGATTCAGTCACTATGAATAACTATTACAGCAACTTTGTTTCTTGAGATCTTGCCACACGCTTGACTCAACATTTATACTTGGGTCACAACTACTCCAAGCACTCCAGGCTTGGGGCACAGAGGCTGGAAAGCTTCCTGGCAGGAAAGGACCTAGGGGACCTGGTTGACAGTGGTTGAACATAAGCAAGCATGTGCCCAGGTGGCCAAGAGCATCCTGGTCTGGATCAACAACAGTGTGGCCAGTGGGACTAACACAGGCAGGACTCCCTCCTAGCCTCAGTTCTTGCTCCAGCCTAGCTGTAAATGACACTTCAGGAGACAGACACTAATTTTATACACCCATCTCAAGCCGACAAAACTGAGACCCCTGATTATTAGGCAGAAAGGGAAGGAATGTTCAATCCCTCCTACCTGCCCAGTGCAGATAGGCCATGGGGGGAGTGCACACATTTCCTGGAAAGCCACCAGGATCACAACTGATCAGATTTGAGAATAATTTGGAACACTAGCAGCTTTTATAGTGGCCATCAGAAATTGCAGCTGCTTGGTGTTCCTGTAAGTGCCATTTAGAGACTATTTTTATTTTAAAATATCACAAGCTTAATGCCAGCCCCTCTAAAACTCCACATTAGTGACGGTAAGGACCTTTAACAAATTCTATTTAAGATCAGATACAAAGGAAGAGGTTTGAGTTTTTAAACTATTTTGCTGTTATTTGTAATTACCTGCTACAGCAAATCCAGATAAGCTCCTATTGACTTTGTGCTGGTACCACCGAGGTTTCTTAGAGATCACCCACCTGCCCTGGCAGACTCACAGACAGCACAAGGACTCCTCACCTTCCTTCTTAAGGGGCACAACCAGGCTTCCCCACTGTGCTCCTGCTGACTGCTCCACACACTGAACATGCAAGAAAGGTGGGAACAGGAACTACAGGCCCCTACCAGCTGAAGTGTTTGTATCTAATCCCACAAAATGCCCTTTTCTTGCTTCTGGTGCATCATGCATTTATACCATTCATTTAACGGAATCTCCTCCTCCACATTAAGCCTGGATTAGTGCATGCAGGATTAAACTCTATGTGCTGGAAAGCATGTTCAGTAGAGGTCAGCAGTCAGTAACAGCAGCCAGTTTCTCACAGCAGTGAGATTTAAAGCACCTCAGTATCATCCAGCTCACAACATGTAAAACCACATTACAGCCAGTCCCACTGCACTGACAACTACCTGGTGAGGTAAAAATGAATGTAGAGCAAACACTGCTATTTTACCTCCATTTATGATTTATGATTTATGACCTAAGTAATTTCTTGTGGCAGAGCTAGGTGCTAGCCTGGTACTTTAAACCCAGTTACTGCTTCATTTCCCAGCAGCACTATATCAGTGTTTATCGACATATGTTATGCTTTCAGAGAATAGGAGCACATCTCTG